ATTATTATTATTATTATTATTATTATTATTATTATTATTATTATTATTATTATTATTATTATTATTATTATTATTATTTTGTTATTATTATTATTATTATTATTATTATTACTATTATTATTATTATTATTGTTATTATTATTATTATTATTATTATTAAATTGTTATATCACTATTATTATTAATATAAATTACCAGTAAGTATTAGTAATTTAAAGTGTTCCTTATCATACCCGGATGAGTGCTTCATTACCGCAATTATATCGAACAACATTTAGCAAACTTTGCATATTCACATATCCCTCACGACGAAAATAATACATCAAAGCGATACGTAACACATCACATTCCGAACGAACCGGTAAATTATCACGTTTCAATAACTCTTCCACAGCTCCTTGATCCAACTGTGCAAAACGTAAATCCAAGACTGCCTAAAATGAAGAAAAGAGTGAGGAAGAAAGGAAAAAAAGATTGGGCATAAAATAGACTAAATTAATAATCAAATTGTTTCCAAAAGTCCCAAAATGTTTATTATTTTTAATAGCTCTTTCAGATTAAATATACCTCTTCCAGAGATCGAATCACATAACTGAGTACGAAATCTTTTACTCGAAGTGACAAATCAGATTGTCGATGACAAGTAATATTCCAACAGTCCAATAAACAGTCATGTTCAGCTGCTTTTTGAATGATAAATTTTTCAATTATTGATCTCATTGATGGTACCTATTGATATAAATGAGCAATATTTTTCATGTTTATACAATTACAACGGATTTTAATTTAAAAATAAGAAACTTAACTTTTTCCGCAATAAATAAAATTTTTTGATTTGCATAATTTCATTCGAATTTTAAATTTTATTTAGTAAAATTTAATATAATTTTGTAAACTTTTCACGAGTTCTCTTTTTTTTGTGTTTATCAAGATTACCTGAAGTTTATAGCATAAAGCTAAAAGTTCCGGAATTTCAGCTAATGAGCATGGTAAAATGCCAGTATAAAAGAAATGGACCACCCGGCGAACAGCATTAGCATCATAATTCGTAAGATGGGTAATATTTAATGTTACAGGTCGGTTTTGTGTCTTCATTTCCGTCGAATATTGTCGACGAAAATATCCGGAATGAGCTAAGGCTATTTCCGAATGAACCATTATCGTACTGTTATCACTGAGCTGAAATAAAAAAAAAAAACTTTAATCATTCCATATCTTTCCATTTATAACTATTGAATATGTATCTTAATGAAGACTAATGATTACTTGACATTTTATATTTGGTGTTATTTTTAGAACTATCAAAAATTTCCGGATTTATGATAACAACTTTTTCATTTGTTTGTTGAAATTAAACACAAATTTATTATCAAATATTTGATAACAAATTTAACCCAAATTACATTCATCAACTGTAATTCAGTGGTGTGAAAGAAAAAAACACATCAATTAATAATTTTGTAAAGATTTTTTGATGTTATCTTGGATTTTGGCTAATTAAAATCTAAGATATCTTTAAAAAAGTACCGTAATCGTAATATCCGGCGTTGGTTTTTCATTTGAAGCTTGAATTTGATCCAAAAAATGCGACAGCTACAAAAGCATGAATTTTATTTTGCATAATAATGCTTGCTTCAAAATTTTTTTCGAATACCAAAAACAATTAATTTTCTTTTTGTTCGAATGGAAATAAAAGTAATGATTTTTTTGTTACCAAAATTAGCATCAATATATATATATATATATGAATCCAAATAAATTCCATTATATATAATATATATACATATATAAATATAAATTCCATTACATATATATAAATATTTAATTTTACATGAATAATTGAAAAGGTAACACCTTAGCTCGATGGGAAAGCAAATGGAATTTATTTGGATTCCATATTAATCGATAATCATTTTTGTCGAAGCATTCTCGATTTTTGATCTTTGTTTGGTAAGGATATAACTAAAATTGACAAAAAAAAAATTAATATTTTCCTACAGAAATTGTT